TTTTCAACTTGATCATCCATCTTCTCGTTCATTCCTAGTACCATATTTTTCATCCTCTTGAGATCATCGAAGTTCAGATGTCCTAACCTGTTGTGCCATTTCGTCAAATTATTGTTGTGAATTTTTGACATACCTGCGTACTCGGGAGAGTTCTCGTTGACCACATACAACCCATCTGTCATAGTAGCCCTCATCGCTACTGATCCATCCTCTCTGGTTACGACAGCATATTCTTTTTGAAATGTTACCTTGTAACCATGCTTCGTGATGCTTGACACCGATAATAGGTTACTTTTGAGTTTTGGTACTAGCATTGCATCTTGTAACCTAATAGCGTTCGGTTTGTTGCCTTCCGCTTGCACGTTAATATTTACTTCTCCCTTTCCTTATGACTTAACGCAATCCTCCGCAGCTGTATATATCTTCGTTGTTTCGTTTCTATTCAACTCGTTGAATCTGCTGCTGTCATTACACATATGTGTTGTACGCCACTGTCTAGACACCATGTGCCAGACCTTGGAAAACCGGTGTTCAAGGCAATTACTGTCATCGCATCGTCTCTCCTTTCCGTGTTCTTTCCTCTTGGATTGGATCTGCAATTCTTGGCCAAGTGGCCTGTCTTTCCACAGTTGAAACAATAAAACATCTTTTTACGTTGTGGTAGTTTTGTGTGGTCCTTTGAAGGTGTGTTTTTGTACCCTCCTTTGCTCTTCGTTAATAGGGCTTCTTCTTCTTTTTCTGCTCCTTGATCCCGAGTACTCTCTAGTTTTCTAGCTTCCTCCTCGAGCAGCCTTGTTTTGAGTTCTTCCAGTGTTGGCATCCCATCTCTGGACTGTATCGCTATGCTGATAGTTTCATACTCGCTTGGTAATGAATTTAGAAGCCAAACCGATAGCAGGTTTTCTGGTAATTTCATATCACACTCCTCCAATTGTTCTGCTATTCTTACAAACTCATTTATATATTGAGACATGTTCTATTCTGTGGACTTCTTTAAGCGATATAGCTGATTGAAGAGTACACATTGCCTCATGGGCCTTCTAGATTCATAAATACCTTTCAGCATTTCCCACGCTTCCATCGAAGTGTTCGCCCTTTTGATATAGTTGTACTGATCCGATTGTATGCTTAACCCCTTGCACTATTCGGAACCTCGGGAAAAGTCAGGCCAAACGCGGCTGCCTCGATTGTCGTGGTGAAAGGCGAGCGGTGGAGCGCGCGTGCCGAAACTTGAGACCTATTCTTACGACCGAGCGCAAGGTAGTCGTGCCCGTATTTACTTCACGAGATGGAACTCTTGTGAAATTCAAATGAATTTGAATCAAAAACTTTTAAAAAATACTTTAATTATTACATAAGAGGAAAACAAATTCTGAATAAATAATAATGTAAGATAGAATTTTGATTGGAATATCTATCTGTTTATTATAGAGAGAACAAGACAATAGAAACAATACAAGTCGAGACAGAACATATACTCGCTGCCGTGATATACAAATAATCGTGATCCGTAATCGTAGCCGAAATCCGTAATCGTAAGCCGTAATCGTAATCCGTAGTCGTAATCGTAATCGTAATCGTAATGCTACTCGTAATCGTGATCGTCGTATCGTGGTTTTCGTATGACTTCTCCTGCGCGCCGCGGACACGTCCTTTTTATGCACGCATCGGTCAACGTTCTCTCTTTGTTTCGCACGTTCGAGTCAACGGACTTCGACGCCCGCTATTCGCTTTGACGGACGCTGACATTTCGTTGCTCTTCGCGGTATAACAACACGTTTCGGTAACCATAATACCGCCGACGCTCACGTACACACACATACACGCATTCGTACATTATGTCGGGCATAGGAGAGTTTGCGAATCCCGATCAGCTGTTTTGGGTTCAACGTACTCGCAAACTCTTCTATTAACGCCTGCTTCCTACAATAATAATATAATTAATTACTAACAAAATAAAAATATGTAAAAGCAAATCCACGGTAGTAGTATTTGAACATCAAACCGAAAACTGATAAACACAATATAAATAAACAATTAAATATCAACAAATTAATAAATTGAAAAGTATCTACAAGTATAAATTCAATATTCTTGCATGGTATGATATTTTCTAAAGCATTCCGGTACATGCAAAGCCACCTTACATTTACTACATTCCCAGCTTGTTTCGCTTCGTTTTTTGTGTTTGTAACACACTTTACAGATCCTAGTTGGGTGTTCCTTACTAGGCGTTGCATCAATATGTTTGGGGAAATGAGCCCAATATTGCGCCTGTAAGCGCATTGTTGTTTGAATTTCTGCGGATTTCCCACGTCTTGTATAGTCAGGCAGCTGTACATATTTTAAGATTGCCTCGGCTATATCTATTCTATAATTTACGTAGGATTGTCTTCTTGGATCTTGTAGTTGTTTTTTTATTACATACGTATTATATAGGCCCATATCGGTCATATAAAAAAAGAGTTTTTTGTAACCCTTAATATATTTTCTCATAATGGGGAAACATGCCAACATTTGATCATTGAGATCAATTGCCCCCATTCCTTTGTTGTAGTCAATTACGCAATTCGGTTTAAATTTCGTCCTATCTCGTTTGTCTGTCGCTTCAGTCATTTCTACAGATGCGTGTTTCTTTGTCAACACATACACATCACGTTTGTCCTTCCACCTTACAGCTAATATTCCATTGCACGTTCTGCATAGATGTTCTCCTGGTTTTAATTTGCTTGTTGAAAGATCCTTCGGCATATTTTTCCTGTTATTACGCACGGTGCCGATAACATTTGTTTTTTGCTTGTGCAATTTTAGAAATAGAGCGGGTGAGGAATACCAATTGTCAATGTACAACGTGTATCCTTTATTTAAAACCGATTCTGCCAATTCCGTGACCACACCTTCTGATGAAATATCAATCAAGTCAATTTTATCTTGGCCAGTATATATTTTAAACTTGCTGCAGAATCCAGTACTTGCTTTACATAGTTTATATATTTTTATGCCAAACCTGGCTCGTTTTGATGGGTTAAATTGTTTATACATTAAGCGGCCTTTATATCGCATTAATGATTCATCAATACTTATATTTTTATCCGGTGTGTAAATATTATTAAATTTGTCGTTCCAATAATTAATGATTGGTCTTATTTTGTGAAGGCGATCATTGTTGCAATCCGTTAGATTATTTGAGAAATGCAAACATCGTGATATTTGGGTAAATCTTTTCAGCGGCATTACTTTTGTAAATATAGGTGTTTCTATCACTTCCCGCTTAGACCAATGCATCTGTATATTTGGTTTTTTGATTTGCGCCATCAAAATACACAACGCATAATAGGCCAATATTTCATCTTTTGTAACTGGGAACCAACCGTCATCCTGTTTCCTTCTTCTTCCATTACTCATTATTTGTTCCGCGTAACGATTTGTTTCCGTGACCACAATGTCCCACAAATTTTCGTTGAATATAATAAGAAATAAATCTAACAGTCCGTCATTCGTGCCTAATCGGTCTAAAACATAGCCTTTTACACCACAAGCCTCCGAGTATTCCCAAATTGTTGGCGTGTTATCACTTTCCTGCCAATTCCCCTCAAGACTCACTTCAGGTCTGGGATTTTCCTCTTCATCACTGTCGCGTATAATTAATCTTCTTGCAGAATTCACTACTGGCACAATTACACTGCTGTCACTAGTATTTTCGTCACTGTCTGTAATTCTTCTATGATCTATCGATTGACAGCTTGAAACATTGGAAGCCTTTCCCCGGCTCTTACTTCCACGCGAAGTACTTGCTTTTTTAGAAGTGTTGCTTCTTTTCTTGTACATGCTGGAGGGCTTGGTAGAATTAAAAATATATATGCAGAGATCACTTTGTGTAGCAAGCAACTTTCTGTAGCAAGCTGTTCGAAACGTGTGCACCTCGTATAAAGAATGGTACAAACTGAAGATCGACTGAGCGGTCTTGGTCTCGCCGCGTGCGCATGTTTATTTAACTTGGAGATGTTATCTGTACCGAGAAGCAGCACTACGTTCTAGGTAGCACGTGCTCTACACGGACACACACAATCCCATTCGAGATGTTCATACTTGGTCCAAAACTAAGACCACGAGTCAGACTCGTGATATTCATGTTCGGCCTGAAATGTCGAGTACGAGTCAGACTCGTGATATTCATGTTCGGCCTGAAATGTCGAGTACGAGTCAATTATTCATGTTCGGCCTGAAATGTCGAGTACGAGTCAGACTCGTGATATTCATGTTCGGCCTGAACAACGAGTCCGACTCGTGACATCCATGTTTGGCTTAAAATTTTCATCACGAGTCACACTCGTCAAAATAGTGCAAGGGGTTAAGGTGATTGCGTCTAGAGCCTTCTCGTCCCTCATTGTCCAGTCACCGTCGTTTTCTTCGGGTTTCGGAACGGTTTCATTCACATAACCCCACAAATCGTTATATCTCAGCACACTCTTCATTTGTATTTTCCACGTCTCATAGTTCGTGCTGTTTAGTCTTTCTATACGTTCAATCTTTCCTAGATTCATTTTGCAAACTTTACTGAACGCGTGGCGCACGACTCTAACCTCACTTTTCACTCAGTCTTCTCTATTTTATTTGTTTTATAGGCGCTCTGGGCCCATAACCTGTTAGATTTTATTATTAATTCAGAGCGCGTTGAGCTCTGAGTGAATACAAGATGTTAGATTAATGAATTGCGCGTACATAACGCGGCACGCTACGCAGTTCACGGTATAAAAGCACGTGTTGCTACCTCGGATGCTACGAACGAAAGGAAGTAACACCCTGCACACGGCGGCAAACCGACGATGTTGAAACAAAGACGAATCGCCACGAACCGGCGCGGTACTCTCTGTTAACACTCGTGCGCATTGACCATGTGATTACCGCCAAATTTTAACAATATGCACAATAAATAAATTAATAATATGCACAGTAAATAAATCACAGTATGGAAATCACAGTAAATAAATCACAGTATAGAAATCACAATAAATAAATCACAGTAAATGAATCATAGTATATAAGAAGATCAATAACTTGTTTACTTGTGAAATTAGATCCTTGATCGGTGTGAATGACCCGGGGACAACCAAATCGAAGTAAGAAGTAAACATGAAATAATGTAAACATATAAGAAAGGCATTCTTTCTGGGTACTTGTTTGCATCGATTGTTGGAGTTGGTTAGAGTTACGTAAGAGAGCGGCCGCTATTACTGTCGGTTCTATATTAATCTTTGGCTGCGTTGCTGGCTGGAAGCGTGGAAAGGAAAGGAGAGGGAGCGTTTCGTCCTGGGTCTGCTGGTGGACTCATCAGTAAGGCTACCTAGCGGACCCTGCCCTAGACACGAGGATATTCGATGGTCGGTTAAGGACGTATATGTATATACAGTAGACTCTAAATTTAGTGCCACTTTCTGGGCTGTAGGAGAGTAAAATGGCATTAAATTTACGAGCCCCCCCCCCCCATGCTAAGTTCTATCCCATTCAACCCCGAATATTTGACAATCTAATTCATGAAACTCGAATATTTTAAATTCATGAAATATAGTAGTAACCTAAGTTTCACAAAAGTTTTTTGCGAATTTATAAAAAAAGTAAGCCCGAGGGATGGGTGCATGTATAAAGAAAAGGTGTTCAGAATGGTGATCTTGACAACATATATCAAGGTTAAGGTCATCGGAGGTAGGTCTCCTTTTGTAAATAATTGCCAAGGTTTCGGTTATTTAATTTTTGTAATGTTTTTTCAGAAGAACATTAAAAAGTTTTATATATGAACTTATACATTTACTACCTAAAAAATGATAATAGATGTATATAAAAATGTTGAAATGAATAAAAAGAATAATCATTCTGAAGGAATAACATAATAAGTATAAAATAGAGACTGTGATGGAATAACACAACATACATAAGGATATTGAAAACTGTTAATTGAATGTTTAATGTATATTTTCAATACTACTCGAGTCATTATCGCATTTAATAACATTCTGTGTTCTGCTCGTACTAACTACGTGATTTGGTCACTTCTGAGCCATACCTTCCGTATGCGAACGTTCACAGTAATACACCTCTGTTACTTAACCCCTTAACCTACGATTTACTTATCACATATTCCACAAATATTTATAACTTTAGGAGGGCGCCGCCGCTAATATTTATATTTGGCCCGATTATCGTATTACGGGCTGTGCCCGTAATATTCACTTTTGGCCCGATCATCTACTACGGGCTATGCCCGTAATATTTACGTTTGGTCCGATCATCTACTACGGGCTATGCCCGTAGTTGTAGGTTAAGGGGTTAAACCACGCGTTTTAGGTTCTAATTTGAAATCTATAATTATTGCTGAGACATAAGGTCGTCCATTAAAATTTTTACCAGAAAATGAAATTTTATATGACTTTATATTAAACTTACCATACAAAAGTACTTATCTTGCACAACTGATATATTGATACACAACTGATACATTACTACTATACTGATCCAAACCTCCGACGACACAAACCTACCCACTCTCTCCTACTTTTGCCGAATCGGTATAATAACCGAAAGGAAGCGTAATTACCGATAATTATTATTAATATTAATGTAATTGTCAAACAGAATGATAACTTCGGCTTCCGGATTCAAGCTTTCGCGCGATAACGCAGCAGCCGAACGCTTCCGGGTTGTTTTTTTTGGTTTTTCGGGCAGACGGGTGAGAGGGGGTCGAGCGTGTTGGTGTCTGGCGGAACATGTGCGTGCCGTGTGATTGTATTCATATAATATGTTCTACATTTAGTTAAATAAACTATTTTTTCATTCACTAAGAACCACGCTCTGCAACCTAACTTTGACAGTAATAAATAATATATAAGTGTATATATTAATATTATCTATTAATTATAATTAATTATTATATGTTAGAAATTTCAACACAAGCGTCGTATAAACACGACCGAATGCCCAAATAGCTGCTGCACTGTTTACGTTAAGGCGAGCGCAGTAACGGGCCCCGACAGCACGACGCCTAAGATATCGTAAATTAGCAACGGACCCTTGAGGAGTTTTCCGTGGACGACGACGAAGGGACCTCCCGGTCGAGGAAGGTCATTCTTGTATCTGTAGTCGTTTGACACGCACTGTTCGAAACGACGTTGCAAATATATATTGAGTTATACCATCATTGTTTGCGCGAGTTTTCTTGGCTCCTTAATTTTCAATCGTTTTTTACATATATAACTAATTATCATAATTGTCAGAAACTTTCTACCGAGGCTTCGATTTTTAATAGGAACTGTATTCCTCTGAGATTCTAAGGTAAATGCCATTTGGTCCAACACAGACCTCTTGTCAGAAGACACCCCTGCTTTCTCCATTCCGTCGCCAGATTCTCTAGAAACAATGTCCTTATTCTTGAAGCAACGCAACAATCTTTAATTTTCTCTCATCTGCTTCTCATAAACAAACCTATGATGGCCGATAACTGAAAGACCCAATATGGTCCTCTGCCATCGCGTGACATCAGGGCTATTTAGTTTCACGCCTGGCCTTCCAGAACCGCACGTAGTGTAATTGTAAATCCATATCATAAATCCTTCGATGACACAATAATGCCAGGCAAACCGGTTTCGACTCTATTCTAAATACGTTGATATTAACATAGTAATAATGATTATTATCGGTTATTACCGATTAGGAAGAAATGTTGATTTTATTTCTTCAAGTTATATACCTACGTAAATTGTAGACACAATAACTACATTGGATCTAAGGACAACAGAAAATTAAAAACTTTACTTTATTCTGTATCATTACTACAGTGAATGACACTGATTGTTGAAATAACAACAGTTGTAAATAGAGCCAACTTTTGATCAGCCACTTACCTAACGCTTGTACAAGTATTTATTAGTGGGTGTATTTGTATACTCACGATATTTTAGACATACAAAAAGTTACAAAAATGATGAGCAATTAGGTTAAATTATGGAAATACTAAAAAATAATAATTCTTCTTTTATACAATCTTTTATACAATAATTTCAAGACTTTCTTGAAATTATTTTTCGTTGCCCGTGTTTAGTGGGACGTGTACATTACGTACAAAATTCTGCACTATACGTCCGTTAAGTTAGCTCGAGCGTCCACATTAAGGGGTTAAGCACAAGTTGAAAAACACCTGAGTTGCTGCTATACATACTGAATAATATAAATTCGCTTTCTTTTATATCGCTCGTTGTAATTTCTATTCAGACTGTGTATTTCATATGTGTAGGGTGTTAACAAAACAGTGGGCACTTTCAAAGGGTAAATTCTACACGCAAAACTAAAACAAAAATCTCGAATGACGATATAGCGTTCAAGGCTTCCTTTCCAAGAATTAATTGTTGAAAATACGGGAAAAATACGCGTGAAATACGTCTGGTGCGATGTATTATAGATACTACTTACAACAGTCGATTCTTAGCTGATATATGGTATCGGTGATGGCCTAATTAAATATCTCATTGAAATGAAATCAAATGAATGAAACTAACACGTGAAACAATTGAAGAGCGCGCTTTGCAATTAGAATAAATTATTCTAATTAACCTGCTATGTCAGAAGTATTTTACTTGTATTTTGCCTGTGGCTTCAATAAATAACTATATCTCGGAAACGAAGCCTCGAGCGTAATTTCGTCATTCTTGATTTTCGTCTTAGTTTTTCATATAGAATTCACCTTGTAAAATTTTCCATATTTTTATTAACAGCCTGTATATTCATAAAAACGTACGATCATACAAAACGCACTAAAATAAAAACTTCAACGAAGATAA